GGGACCACTGGGGGGCGCTGGGGAGGTCCCACTGGGGGGGAGGGGTGCGTCGCGAACAATAAAATCGTCGGGGCGGAGGGGGCACTGGGCGCGGAGGGGGCACTGGGCAGAGGTCCCACGGGGGAGCGCTGGGGACCACTGGGGGGCGCTGGGGAGGTCCCACTGGGGGGCGCTGTGGGCAGAGGTCCCACTGGGGGGCGCTGGGGACCACTGGGGGGCGCTGGGGAGGTCCCACTGGGGGGCGCTGTGGGCAGAGGTCCCACTGGGGGAGGGGTGCGTCGCGAAAAATAAAACGGTCGGAGCTCTAGACACCCTGTGCAAGAGAATAACGAGTCGGGATAGACAGAACAGCCGGGTAGGCGAGAGATCCCATAACCGAATCGATCAGTCGGATCGGCGATCGAAACGAATCGGACTGGCGGAAATCGGCAGTCACGTCGGGAGACATCAAATCGACGGACATCCACAAGCTGGTAAGGCCTGCGTTGAGAAGTCGGAACTGCGATCGGCTCGCACCAGGAATCGGAAACCATCGAACCCGAATCGATCCCAATCGTACGAGCCGGAATAACGTCCCGGAAGCCGGCCCCGCGGGGAAGCGGTCCAGCCCTCCCGGGGGCCCACGCATCGAGCACGCTGCGGCGAAGGCTCGCGGCCGCACTGCTTGGCGGGCAGCAGCGCCGGCAGCGTCACCGAGCAGGCACGCACGACGACAACGACGACGAGGGTGATGGGCATGTTTTCCACCCCCACAACCAGGAGGAGGACGAGAAGGAGGAGGAAGAGGAGGAGGTGGCGGAGGAGGAGGAGGATGACGACGAGGACGAGGACGAGGAGGAGGAGGAGGAGGAGGAGGAGGAAGAGGACCCCCTCCCCCTCTAACTTATGGTAGTGGAAAACAAGCCCATCAAGGGGATTTTTTAAGGAGTTTCGAGGCCACGCCCCCAGGGTTTTCACGAGCGCTGGCTCGCTCGCTCTACCTTGGCATGGGAAGGCTCGGTGCTGTCCACACATGGCGCGCAACCCTTCTGACAGAGGGCCCCAGGGAACCACAGGGAGGAATAAGAGATCTCGGAGGACGCGGGAGGATAATAAACGATTTGTGCCGGCAAGTCGTGGGTGGGATGTGTGACGAAGAACGAAGAAGTCGTCGTCGACGTCGTCATCGTCGCGCGGAAACGACGGCGACAACGATGGCACGGGGTTGCGTAAACTCCTGCCCCATGGACCCGGACCCCGACCCAACCTGGAGCCGGGGCCGCGCCCGAGCCCAGGTCGGAGACGGAGCCCGCGCCGCGGCGCAGGAGCCAGAGCAGTGGCAGAGCCTTCTGGGGAAAGGCATGAGAGCCTCCCAATTTATTTTGCTGACTCTTGCGAATCCGCGCAAAGTGAAGCTAGTCGATACCATTCGACGCAAAGTCGACGCTAATCGACTATAAGTCGGCGCTGTCGCATCGACTGCCAAACATGCACGTCAATGCACTCTGAAGACGGAATTGCAAGGATATACAAGGCTCGTACGTTTTGCTACCGAACGACCTTGAGATCTGAGCGTTGCATTTAGTCACCTGGTTTCGGGACCCAGGACCATCACAGATCAATCGGGCTAGAAACTCGATGCAGAGAGATGGACTCGCGGCCGCACTGTTAGAAAATTACTCGCAGAAGCTTTTTTGGGTCGTCACTATGGTGCCCAATACCGTATCCAGTAGTGCGCAGAACGCACGAGCTACATTTCCATCATATGGCGCTATTGGGCTCCATTTGGGGTCTATTCGGCGCTGCCGGGCGCTACTAGGCGCTTTGAGGCACTATTGGTCGCTATCTGGGCGCTATTGGGCGCGGCGAGCGCGCTATTGGGCACTCTTGGACGCTTTCCGCCCATGTACATTCAATCCAAATCGAGCGGAACCTTATGTGACTTACTATCTAAGCACTGCTGGGCGGGCAGCAGAGTCGGCAGCGGAAACTAGCATATACTAAGGGCATGGCGCGAGGGGAGTGGGTTCCTGAGAAGACTGCGGGACTTCTACAGAAGGCATGGGAACTTCTTAGACGCCCGGCCCGCATACAAGAAGCCTTCTCAGAAGCCTCTGGGGCCTTCCAAGATTCCAAGAAGCCCCTCGCGCCACCCTCTTGTGCGATCCGCCAGCGGCAAGACCAAACCAAAATTGTAACCAACTTGGACCGGGACAAATCAGGGATCTCTGAGATCCAATCTGTAGGGTCCTAGCGGATTCATATGCTTAGGTGGGGGTGCCGCTGACTTTGGTGGCCGGCCCAGGTGCCCAAGTGCCCGGGTGCCGGGGTGCCCGAGCGTGCCCAGAGGTGCCTGGGGGTGCCCGGGGGCCCGAGGGCCCAGGTGCCGGGTAGCCCTATAGCCCTATAGCCGTATAGCCTTGAAACCTTAAAGCCCTATAGCCTTCTAGCCCTATAGCCCTATAGCCTTATAGCCTTCTAGCCCTATAGCCCTGTAGCCCTATAGCCCTATAGCCCTATAGCCCTATAGCCCAATAGCTCTATAGCCCTATAGCCCAATAGCCCTATAGCCCTATAGCTGCATATCCGTATAGCCTTATAGCCCTATAGCCCCATAGCCCTATAGCCATAATCAATTCCTGATGGGTTTCTGTTATCCAATATCATGTGAGTAACGCAGTTGTGAGTATCGTCTTCGGTGCAGCCCCCTATGGGGCCACGAAGCGTGTGAAGGGTGTGCCGAAGTGGAAGTCGGAGAAACATGTGGGCACCGCCACTGGGGCCATCGGTGAAGCCCCCCATGGGGCCATGAAACGTGTGAGGTGAATGCCGAAATGGGTTGCTGGGCTGCGCCACCAGGGCCTTCGGTGGAGCTTTCTACGGGACCACGAAACATGTGAGGGATGTGCCGAAATGGGTGGCGGAACACATGTGGGCACCGCCTCTGGGGCCTTCGGTCGAGGTTCCTATGGGGCGAAGCGTGTGCGGGGTGTGCCAAAATGGGTAGCGGGGACGCGTTTGGGCACCGCCACTGGGACCTTCAAAATGGGTGGCGGGGACGCATGTGGGCACCGCCACTGGGACTTTTCGGAAATTGTATCGTGGACGCATGTGGGCACCGCCAGCGGGCCGTCGGTGGAGCTCCCTTTGGGAACACGAAGCGTGTGAGGGTCTGCCGAAATGGGTGGCGGGGACGCATGTGGGCACCACCACTGGGGCCGTCGGTGGAGCTCCCTACGGGACCACGAAACTTGTGAGGAGTGTGCCGAAAGGAGTTGGGCGGACGCCTGTGGACACCGCCACTGGGGCCTTCGAAATGGGTGGCGGGGACGCATGCGGGCACCGCCACTGGGGCGTTGCGGAAATTATATCGTGGATCCGTGTGGGCACCGCCAGTGGGCCGTCGGTGGAGCTCCCTATGGGACCACGAAGCGTTTGAGGGTCTGCCGAAATGGGTGGCGGAGACTCATGTGGGCACCGCCACTGGGGCCGCCGGTGGAGCTCCCTATGGGACCACGAAACTTGTGAGGGGTGTGCCGAAAGGAGTTGGGCGGACGCATGTGGGCACCGCCACTGGGGCCTTCAGTGGAGCTCCCTCTGGGGCCACGAAACGCGTGAGGGGTGTGCCGAAATGGGTGGCGGGGACGCGTTTGGGCACCGCCACTGGGGCCGTCGGTGGAGCTCCCTATGGGGCCAAGAAACGTGTGAGGGGTGTGCCGAAATGGGTGGCGGGGACGCATGCGAGCACCGCCACTGGAGCCATCGGTGGAGTCCCTATCTGGCCACGAAGCGTGTGAGGGGTGTGCCGACATGGGTAGCGGGGACGCATGTGGGCACCGCGATTGGGATCTTCGGTGGAGCTCCATTCGAAACGTGTGAGGGGTGTGCTGGAATGGGTGGCGGGGACGCATGTACACTGCCACTGGAGCCTTCAGTGGACCTCCCTATGGGGCCACGAAGCGTGCGACGAGTGTGCTGGAATGGGTGGCTGGGACGCTTGTGGGCACCGCCAGTGGGCCGTCGGTGGAGCTCCCTATGGGGCCACGAAACTTGTGAGGGGTGTGCCAACAGAGGTGGCAGGGACGCATGCGGGCACCGCCATTGGAGCCTTCGGTGGAGTTGCTATGGGGCCACGAAGCGTGTGAGGGGTGTGCCGACATGGGTGGCGGGGACGTATGTGGTCACCGCGCTTGGGACCTTCGGTGGAGCTCCCTCTGGAGACACAAAACGTGTGAAAGTTCCAACATGGGCCATGGCGGTGATAACGATGACGATGACGATGATGGTAACGATGACGGTAACGGTGCTGATGATGCTGCTGCTGATGATGATGATGATGCTCATGATGATCATGCTGATGATGGTTGTGGTGGTGGTGGTGATGATGATGATGACGACGACGACGATGGGAGGAGGGAGGAGGGCGGAGGGGTATGAGAAGGAGAGGAGGAGGGGGAGGAGGAGGCTGGAAGAGGAGGAGGAAGTAAGGAAGGAAGAAAGGAACGCGGGGCGCTGTCTGATCAAAACAAGGACCCAACACCACAGGAGTGTTGGGACAAGTCGCCCAAAAATACAAACAACAAAAATCAACAAAGAGCACGGGCAATCGTCCCCAGAACCTGTTTTTTACTATTCTGGAAGATTCCTCCTGTGGGGGGGCATGCCGGACTTAACCCTCAGGAGATCCGTGCGTTCTTACCATGAGTTTTGACTCTACAACTCGAAGGCCGCCGAACGCCGCGCCGCCGGGGGCCGGAGCCGCCGAGGGCCGCAGCTCCTCGCGCGTGGACGCCAGCCGGACGACCGCGGCCTCCCCCTCGTCGGCGTCGTCGGCGGAGGCGTTGCCGGCGGCGTCGGCGTCGTCGGCGGAGGCGTTGCCTGCGGAGGCGGCCTCCTCGCACGAGAGGGCGGTGTCGGAGATCGGCAGGCACTGGGATCGCGGGAGGGGGGGGGGCGGGCAAATTTTGGTCCCCTCCTCCCCCTGCAGTGGGTTGGCGGCGAGCACAAGGGGGTAGGGGGGAGGGCTTTTAAAAAAGGAGGCTGCTTCTTAGAAGGCGCCGGCCTCCCATTTGTAGCTCAGGCCCGCGCCTTCTGAGTAAGAAGCACGGGTGCTTCTAAGGAGCCCTCCCCCTCCCCCCCCCCCTGCGCGCGGCCGAATGTCGGGAGCGGCCACGAGGGGGGTGTCCAAGAGGGGGGGTGCAAATCATGACCGGCGGCATGTGCGCGGCCCAGCGGGGGGGCCAGAGACGTAATGAAACAAGAAGAGGCGCTGTGAAACCTGGGGAAATATCCTGGCCCCCGCCAGGATACCCCTCCCCCCCCCCCTCGTCACCACCCCCCTCTTTGCCGGCCCCGACGAGGGCGGGCAGGAGCCCCCTCCCCCCCCTGCCGGGGGGGGGGGGGCGGGCGTTACCAGCCTGGAACATATCCCTATCCCTATGCTGGGCACCTCCTCATCACGATGCCAATCTTAGGGATTCCCTTTTTGGGGGGGCGAATCCCTAAGATTGTCATCGCCTTTTGGCGTGTCAATCTTAAGGATAGGGATACGTTCGAGGCTGGTAAGGGCAGGCATGTCCCCCCCTCCCCCCTGCGCCCTGGGCGCTGCAGCGCGGGCGCGCGCAGGGGCGCTGTGGCCCCCAGCGTGGGGCCCCTGCAGGGGCCGTCGCAGAGGAGGGGCTGGGGCTCGAGCAGTGCCGCAGCAAGGGCTCCCAGCTTCGCGCTTCGCGCTGCGCGAGAGCGCGAGAGCGCGAGAAGAACTTCGCGCTCTCGCGCCGCCTCCCAGGGGAGAGGGAGAGGACGAGGAGGAATCCGAGCCGAACCGCGAAGCGCGAATGACTTTGTGCCCTCGAGGGCGCCCTTGCGCAAGAGGGCTCCGGGCGTGCGCCTTCGCGGCGCTGCGATCCTGCCCGCCACGGGCCCCGTTCAGGCTCCGCGCCGCTCCCCCATCTCAGGTGGTGTCGGAGCAGATGCTGGCCATCGCTGGGACGTCCATTCCCTGTGTGATTGTTGTTTCGGTTTCGTGCATGGGTTTTTCGCCAAGTGATCAAGGATGCTCCTCGATGGTCCTCGCCGATGGAAAGGGCTCCGCGCCACTCCCCCATCTCGGATGGTGTCGGAGCAGATGGGGTCGGAGGATCTCGCCGCCTCTCTGGTGCATCGGCGATGCATGGGCGTTGCATCGGCGACGTCGGCGAGGCAGCGGCGACGTCCGCGTGGAGGAGGTCGGGCTCCACATCGCGCGGCGTAGAGCTGAGGTATCCCGGGATGCAGCCAAGGGGCCTCTGACGCACAACCCAAGCACGGTGGCGAACTGGTGGGGACCTCCCTCGCTGAGGTGTTCTGTAGTCATATTCACTTCCACGTGCCTGCCTGGGCGGACGCATTATGACGACGTTCGGGCCGCCCGATACGTATGGCCATACGTATGTATACGATGGCACCGTTTGCTCATTCGTGGCATCCTCAAAGTCTGGGCGCGCGCAACAGTTCATCATACGGCCTTCAAACTCCAGGGATGACGAGCAACTGCGTCTAAATCACAGAATATCTATCAGAATGTGTTATAGCAATGTATGCGCTATGGTATGTCAGCTTATATATATATATGAATATATATATGTGTATACATGTGTGTGCGTGTAAATATACGTACCTATATAGATACACATGTATACATGAATATGTAACTACACACGTACACATATGTATGTATACATACATGTGTGTATGTATATGTGTATACATACATACATACATACATACATACATGCATGCATGCATGCATGCATGCATGCATGCATGCATGCATGCATACATACATACATACATACATACATACATACATGCATACATACATACATACATACATACATACATACACGTAAGGGCGAGGGAGGGAGCGCGGAGAGGGGGGAGGGCAAGAAGCGGGAGGGGGTAGAAAGGGTGGAGAGAGGGAGGGGAGGAGGGAAGGACGGAGGGAAGGAAGGAAGGAGGGAGGAGGAACGGCAGACCCCCCGTGTCTCCGCAGCACCGTCGTGGCGGCCACGAGTCGTGGCGTCAAGCTCTCTGGCGCGCCCGCGACGCGCGGGCGGCGCCCGCGGGCCCGCGGGCGGAGGGGGGGTCGGGGTGTTTAGTTTCGTGGGGGGGGGCAATCCTCATCCTCATCCTCCTCCGCCTCCTCCTCCTCCTCCCTTCTCCCCCCTCCTCCTCCGCCTCCCCCCTCCTCCTCCACCTCATCCCTCATCCTCCTCCTCCTCCCCCTCCTCCTCCTCCCGAGGGAGTGGCTCAAGTTGCCACTTCCGAGGGTTAAAACTGAGGCCTCAGTTTTAACCCCCTCCGACCTTCCCCTGCCATGGCGCCGTCCTTTCTCTGATCGCTCCTGATCGCTCCTCCTCCTCCTCCTCCTCCTCCTCCCTCCTCCTCCCATCCTCCTCCTCCTCCTCCTTCCTCCTCCTCCTTTCCTCCTCCTTCCTCCGCCTGCATGCACCCCCGCCGCGGTCGGGGGCGGCGGCGGCGGCCCTACTTCTTCATCACGCTGGAGCCGCCCGTCCTCGCGAGGCGGGCTGCGGGGGGGAGCGGGGGGGGGGCAGGCTCGGCCAGCAGCTCCCTCCTCCTTCTCCTCCGTCCACCCTCTCCCTCCCTCCCTCCCTCCCTCCCTCATCCTCCCCCTCCCTCCCTCATCCCTCCCTCCCTCCCTCATCATCATCGTCCTCCTGTTTCCTCCTCCTCCCCCCCCTCTCCCCCTCCCTCCCCCTCCTCCTCCCCCTCTTCCTTCTCCGCCCCTCCCTCATCCCACCTCCCCTCCATCCCTCTCCTTCCCTCCCTCCTCCCTCCCTCCCTCCCCCTCCCTCCCTCCCTCGGATCGGTCCTCGCAACGCGAGGGGCTTTCGGCAGCCCCTCGCCCTCGCCCCACTTCGTGGGCGCCCTCGCCAGCTTCGACTCCTGGCCGTCGTTGTCATGCACGTCCACCAGGACGGGCACGTTGTACTCGAAAGTCCTCGGGGCAGGCGACGGGGGCGCAAGTGGGAGGGGGCGCGCGGGGGCGGCGATCGCACCCCAGCTCGCAACGGGTGCGTCTGGGGAGGACCGACCGCGTGAGGGCTATGAGCCATGGCGGGACGGAGGAGGGATGGGAGGATGACGAAGGAAAGCGTGGGTGGAGGGCGTGAGGCCCTGGGGCGTATTGAGCCCTGCCCCCGCTGGCTCCTCCTCCTCCCACCTCATCCTCCTCCTGCGGGTGCAAACCAGCAACACCTCCTCCTCCTCCTCCTCCTCCTCCTCCTCCTCCTCCTCCTCCTCCTCCCCCTCCTCCCCCCCTCCCCTCCCCTCCTTCTCCTCCTTCCCTCCTATCCCCTCCTCCCCCCCCCCCCCCCCCCTCCTTCCTCCTCCTCCTCTCCTCCTCCTCCTCCTCCTCCTCCTCCTCCTCCTCCTCCTTCTCCTCCTCCTCCTCCTCCTCCTCCTCCTCCTCCTCCTCCTCCTCCTCCCACCCCTCATCGCTCCTCTCCGCAATGCCGTCGTTCATCATGACGTCCACCTTCACCCACTCCACCGCGTGCGTCGGCTTGAGCTCTGGCGCGGCCGCGTCGTCGGCGGCCTTCTTCCTCTTCCGCGGCTGCTCCTTGGCCGTGGGGGCCTTGAACACTGGCACCAGCCAGGGCACGCTCAGGTCGCTCCTCGTCATGTTCACGTTCTTGGTGCCCTCCAGGTAGAACGTCGGCCCGCCGCCCTCGGAGACGCACTCCAAGGGAAGGACCATGTTCTTGGGGGCGTGGGCCGCCACGCTCCTGTCGATCACCCTGCCAACGAAGTACATGCGACAGCTGCCGTTCTCGATCGATTTGTCCCTGATGACGACGGGCTTGATGATCTTCTTGTCGTCGTCGTCCTCGTCGCGCGCGTCGGTGGCAGGCAACAGCAAGTTCTGCTTCCTCGAATAGTTCTCGTGTTGGAACGCGTTGATCTTCTGCTGCAGAGCCGTCATGAGGATGCGCTTCTGGTACACCGGCCAGGCTGCATCCCCCTCGTCATCAGCGTTGTCGTCCTTCTCGGCCGCCAAGACCTTCTCGAACCACTTCTCCAAGGTGATGGTAGACGGCACCACGGGGCACGCCACCAGCGCATCCTGCTCACCAACACCAGGATGCAGCGATTGAATCGTAGTGAAGGCCTGGGCTGTGACGCCCAGCTTTCTGTTCAAGGCCGCCATCGGAGAGTCGAGGATCGACTTCGAGGTCGCCATCTGGGGGTAGCTAAGCGTGAGAAGGTCGCAGCACTCAATGACGTTCGCTTCCTTCTCTGTCTTGAAGAGGTCCTCGGCTGGGGCAGCGGTTCAAAGAACCCCGAACCGGAAACAATGGCGACGATGATGATCGGGGCAAGGAGGGACACAGGGGAAGGGGATAGGGAATGTGAGGGGCCTCGCTGCCCCGCCCCCTCTTTGTGTTCACGCATTCGGTCCATCTTGTGATCAAAAGGTCTGAAGCCGATCAGTCCGTAGTGCTCAGTCAGTGACTTGTTGATGTGTGCGTGGCTGCTCGTGCGAATCATTGTGACCATCTCCCTTTTCTTGTCCTCGAGCGCGTCAGGCGGGTGGTCCCTCACCGCCTTGAGCAAGAACGCCATCTGCTCCGCGATGCTGCTCGAGGCGGCGAGCCACCCGTACTCACGGCCCTCGCTCCCCCCCCGCCCACCCCCTGCTCAGGGGGCGGCGAGCCAGGATGGGGTTGGGAGGAAGAGGGTTTTGGACGATCTGACCCGCCAGATTTCGTTTCCCGTCGGTTTTCGGGCGACGGATGAGGATGAGGATTCGGATGATGATGGAGGCACGTTCAAACGGTCAGGGGTGACCGTTTGAACGTGCCTCCCCTGACAGTTTGAACGTTCAAACGGTCAGGGGTGACCGTTTGGTGTTTCCCCCGTCTCGACCCC